AGAGAGAGAGAGAGAGAGAGAGAGAGAGAGAGAGAGAGAGAGAGAGAGAGAGAGAGAGAGAGAGAGAGAGAGAGAAAGGCCGCAGCCTGGTCACCACAATTGACCTATCTAAAAGCTATGTGCTGTAAGTTATCAGAAAACGAGTAGAGTTTCGGTTGAAACTTAAGATGATGTATAACAAATGCTCGTGACTTATAGCGTGAGCTTCCAACTGAAGATAGGGTTTCACACAGGTAAGGGAGACTTGAAAACAAAGGTATTGACCGTTGGGACTTCGATTCTGGGAATGCCGCGACATCATAGCGTTCGATCCCACATGTGTCACTTTGATTAAAAAAAGGGGGGGTCTTTTCCATTTCGAGTGAGGTTGAACGGTTGGATGGGGAGACTGGAAACATGTGGATTGAATGAGAACCCCAGGGTAGTATCTGGGAGAGAAGAGAAGGCGTGAAGATGACTACCCGTGAGTTGTCACACTGTTTACACTTGATTGGTGTGTTTGAAACTGAATCTGCAGTTTGCAGCTCACTCTTGATTGGTTCGCTTGGAACCAAGCCAACGAACTGGCTCGCTAATTACTCTCCCTGAAAATATTTATTGATTTATTTATTTATTTATTTATTTATCTCAAGGATCACACTTTTATCATATGATTTCGAAGTAGGTCTCGTTACTCAGCTTCCAGAGCGGCGAGAGAGACAACGCAGGTACGTGAGGGTGAAAAGAGAGTAAATGATAGTGCAGATCACTTCAGGCAGCAGCCTCTCATTGCCGGGTCAGGCAACAGCCTCACATTCGCAGATTAGGTAGCGGCCTTTGATTGGGAGATCAGACAACATCTACTCATTGGCTAATCAAATAGCAGTCACTCATTGGCTGGTCCTGCACTCTCTTCCCATTGGCCGATCAGGCAATGGCCACTCATTGGTTGATCAGGGACTCTCTACTCATTGGCAGATCATTCGCATAGTGCATTCGCAACAGGCCTTTCAACCCCCCCCCACTCCCCTCCTGGTCGCTGCGGACCTCGGAAGCGGGCGCAGCGAGTGACAGGCGCTGTTGCCATTGGCTTCAGCGAGCGGCAGGCGATCCCTCCCCTGGTTTCTTCACATCGTGAGAGGTATAGCACGCGCGCACGGTTGGAGTGGTGACAAGTTGATTCTACGAAAATAAATCCTATGTGACACGACCGTGAGGTTCAACGCTCCCAGCAGGGCGCAGGACCGCCACGCGCGACACCGTGCCAGAGGTCCATCCTCCTGGTACCACCACCAATAAGCCTTGTCGTCAACTGCTCGCTGTCGAAAAAATCCAACAGCACCTTCCCACGAAGGTGAGAAAATAGTATGTCGCAGATCCGTTCCGCCGGTACTGCCGCCAATAGCCTTGCCATCTGCCGCTTGTCGTCGGAAAAATTCGGCAACATTTCCCCACTAAAATGGAAAAGTTGCCTGCCAAAGGTTCGGCCGCCGGTACCTGCCGTAGTCAAGTCCACAGGTACGTCCACTAGCATGGCCCTAACATCCGTCGTTGCCGCAAAAAAACCACCGTCAAATTAATAAAGTATGGGCCCTGGATGAAATCCAGACCCAAAGTATACTCCCGCCGTGCCGCCTTGGTCCCGCAGAGTCCCTAGGCCTGGGACCGCTCCACTGAACCAGCACCAGCGAGAGGGAAGTGGAGCAGAGTGCTCACTACCCCGGCTATGGCTGCCCTGCTCCTCTCGAGCTCCACTGCAAATCTTCAACCTCCTCCCACATTGCCTCTGACAGCTCCTTCGATAGCCCAACAACACTCATGTGTGCTTGCCACACACTGGGAGCACGAGTGCTCTGTGTGGCAGCTAGGGACAACTGCCTGTTTTATAGTGGCTGAGGAGGGTTGCATGTCAGTCCAGCCCCCAGGCAAAATCGCGGGCTCACAGTGAGCCCTTAATCTAGCCCAGATCTAGGGCTAACTATGGCCGCACCACAGCCACAGCCTTAGTGAGCCCAGTTTTTTTAACTGCCCTCATTTTTATTTTTTTTCTTTTCCCCAGCTATCTCAGATTTTCACGAGATAGTTGGGGTCGTGATATTTCCAAAGCTGTTTTTATTTTATTTTTCTGATAAGGGGTTGGAAAGATATCACCCTTTTCAGTTTGATGTACCTGGACTTTTTTTTTCAGGGCAGATACATCGGGGAAAAGGTTGTACTTAGCCTTTTCCTTTATGACCCCTCAATTTTCAGGCTCCGTCTAAAATTGGGAGCCTTACAATTACCTTTGGCAGCTTCTACCTGAGGTAACACCTCGTGAGGACAAGTGTCCTCACGAGTATGCACTTAAAAAACAAAGAAAAAAAAAAAAAAACTAACTTCAACTATAACGCGCTTGACCCTTACCTTGACCACGTTCATGTTGTTGAAACCAACAACCCGCCTACCTTTTACTATGCCCTCCCCTGAAAACGGGGAGGGCAGTTGCAGGTTGGGAGAGGTAGGGAAACAACTAGTGAAAATTCACAAGTTCAAATCCCAACAGGTTCACAGCGGGGTTCTGACGTCAGTACGTCGGTACCAGTGTGGCAGTAGTAATTTTGGTTTTAGCGGTAGTACGTCGGTACCAGTGTGGCAGCCTGCTTTGACTTGGGCCTACGAGCGGTCCTATTTTTCGTTAGGGGTAATGTAGACTCGTGTCCGGTAGACTTACATAAATTTTTGTCAGGTTGGCAGTACTAATGTACTGCATTGACTTGACGACTGTTTTGTGTTGTTGTAATCCTCCGCAGGTATAAGTAAGATACGTGCATTACGGAAGTTCTCTTTGAACGATCGTGAAGCGGTCGGACGGCCGTGAAGCGGTCGGCGGGTATTAAGGTACGAGTTTGGTGGAAATATTGGGTGTGTGGAACGTTGTGGTCGGACTTCTTTGTGTATTCTATACGAGTGCATTTTTCTTACTTCGTCTTTACATATGGACGGACTCGAATAAGTCTCTGCCATACGGGAAGCCGCGTTGTCTTTACGTGTGGTTTGACTCTTGCGAATGAGTGTTTACCATTACCTGTTATTGCCCGCGTGAACTATTCCGGAGACAATTAGCCGGGATAAGTGAGCACGTTACGTATCCAGGCTGATTCGATTAAGTGGAAGTGTTGACTGATCAGGGTGGACCGAGCGTATTCACGTCGAAGGCGCTATGTCAAGGTACGATGATCATCGAGACCAGGGTTACGAGGAACGTGAGCGTTGTGATATGGGACGTGATGGGAACAACTACAGAGATGGAGGCTATGAGCGGGAACAGCGCCGCGGACAGGTTAGGTGCTTTAATTGCGGCGAACTGGGTCACTATGCCACGCAGTGCCCGCAACCTAGAAGATTGCGGTATTCAAGACCGACAACATCGGCAGATTCCAGGGGCGATAAAAATTATGGGAAGCGCTCCACAACTGATGACCAACTCGAGTCAAAGGTGGCTGAGATCGGCAAGAGTGTAGCCGCGGTCTGTCAGTTTGTTGAGATCGAGCAGCAGAAGAAGGCTGTGAAGGAGCGTAAGAAGATGGAGAAGAAGGAAGCCGAGGAGCGCGAGGTGGCCGAGCGCTTGGAAGCGGAGGCTAAACGGAAGAAGAAAGAAGAGAAGGCTCGCCGCAATGCCGAGAAGTTTGAGGAAGTCAACAAGAACCTCGACATCAAGGTGGCTCTGCGTGTCGGTGAACTGCGGGAGGACGTACGAGAGGACGTCCGAGCGGAGATCAAGGAGGATATTGGTGAATTGTGCCGAGTAGTTGCTCGGGGAAAACAAAAGGTGGATCCACTAACGGGTCCCGATCACGAAAGTGGCGCCAGCAGCAGTGATACCGGGGAGATTAGCGGCGTACTCGCAACTTATGTTTGTCGGAGAAGCGGAAGCGCGGGCCGGAGCCGTTTTTTGAAGGAAGCCCTCCGATGGAGCAGCCGCCGAAACGTACACCACGGAAAGTGACGAAACCAACTAAATTGACAGATTGACTTCATGAGCCAAGACCAAACGGCAGGAGAAAATGCCTACGCCAAAGAAGACCCCGCCTTCGATCCGGAAGAAGACGGTGTCGGAGCAAACACCCTTACAAGGGTATTTGCTCATGATTTTGCATATGATACAATATCAACGCCGGTCGCCGTGCCGGAGACAGGCTGGAGTAAAAAGTGAGAATTTTTTGGCTTGGCGCTGTGAAACAAACTTCTCGACCATTGAGGCCGAGATTTCTAGACGATTGTACGCAGTGATACGACGCATGCGACAACAGGTAAAGGTTAGTGAAAATTAAACGTCTCGGCCGGAAGGGCCGGAGGATTGGAAGAAAATAAGAAAGGTCACGCGGGATGCGTCGACCATGATCTAAATCAGTCAAAGGATCAGGCAGTAAGGGAAAAACGAATTAGGTCTAGTCCAGAGGCGTCAGACCGATCAGAAAAATCTGTTCGTCGCGCCGCCGTAAGCTCGAAAGCGGACTTAGATAATAGTATAAGCCCCGACCGCGCGGCCAGGATAGCCAATAGGAATCTGCCACCACCACACCAAGCGGCGACGACCGGTGTTGGGCCTCTAAAAATGCCAACTGTTGTCTTCCTTCGCGCGGCCTTGAGTGCCATGCACATCTACCTCTACTGGTGTAGTACCGGCATACCCGCTACTTGAGTGTTTTCCCTGCCGCAACCCTCAATGTCACGGCCGCAGGTAAGTACCGGTCCTTCCGGTCGTCCACTCAACCAAGTGCCTTTGCGGGTCACACACACGCTCAAGCCAACAAGCACTCAAACAGATACTCAGACCGGCGAGCGTGCACACGCACAGACTTAGGAAAAACGGGCTCTATCCACTGGTCGGACTGAGTCCCGATACTGTTTATGTACTGAGTTGCTCCCCTTCTATTTGAAGTGGGAGCTAGCTCAGTAGGTTTAGGCACAGGACTTTTAAGCATAGGGTATAGGGATCGAGTCTACCAAACTACCGAGGCTAGCTCCTTTTTATAAGGAGCTCCTCAACATTTTTTTTACCCGGGATTAGTGGGCTGGGGCTTGAACCCGCGACCTTCAGCATTAGGAGTTGTTACAGTTAGTTTGTCTGTCCGACAGTTGGCAGTACGGGGTAGATAGTAGTTAGATTCTTCTCCTTTTTTTTTTTTCTTTTTTTTTTTTCTCTTTTTTTTTGTTAGGTTTTCTTTTTTTCTTTCTTTTCTTATTATTTATTTTCCATCGATCCCGTAGTTATTCTAGATAATTTTCGTTGAATGAATCTGCCTCGGAAACCAGGGCAGGTTCTCGTGCCGAAGTAAGCACTTACCTTCGCAAACCCGGCCACAATCTTGATCTCGCTGAAAGAGGTCGTCTTCGCAGAGGTGTAGGGAGAGCGCGGGAGTGGACGCGCGAATGCTCGAAGGGCAAGTGCGGGGGTGATGCACACGAGCAGAGGGGAAGGCGGGGCGCAGGCAGAGGAAGGAGCCGCGTGTGCAAGCACTCGACCGGTTACGGGCGCGCGATCAACATCGAATGTGAGCGCTACTGTGTGCGCGGAGCATTGTAGAGGGGCGAGCAGGGCAGCGGAGTTAGCATGCGGGAGTAGAGATGGTGAAAAGGAAGAGGAAGAAGAAGAAGCAGGAGGAGGAAGAAGAAGAAGGAAGGAAGAAGAAAAAGAAGAAGGAAGGGAGGGAGAAAGGAGAAGAGATGACGACTTACCTGCCCTTCGCAGTCAGTGATGGGGATGTTCCCAGCGTGGGTTAGAAGGGACTCTCTGCACACGTTTTCGGTGGTTTCCAGTCTGCGAGGAACGGGTGAGTCGTTCTCTGGTGGTCGGGCGAACATTTTTGCAGCGCCGCGCGGGCCACTGGTCGTCTCTCTCGGAGAGCTCCAAGACAGCTCGCCAGTTGCGTAGCACGGCAACGGCTTCGATGCGGTGGTGCCAGTGGGTCGTCATTGCGCTCACTCTCGCTCGTCCTCTTGTGGTGTTTGGAGCCACGACACCCGAATTTTGAGGTAAGATTTTCCTTTTATTTTCTTCTTAATTATTGTTATTATTATTATTATTATTATTATTATTATTATAATTATATTATATTATATTATATTATATTATATGTTGTTGATCCACGTGTGTGCGTGCGCGCGTGCTTGTGTGTGCGTATGTGTGTGTGTGTGAAAGAGACAGAGAGCTAAGCGTGAGGCTTGCCACACGCTACTCGGATCGATAGAACGAGCAAATCTAAAAAGTGGCCGTATATATTTCCACGTTTCAGCGGAAGATTCATTCCGTTTTTGCTCATCCTATTGATGGAGTGTGTGTGTGCGTGTGTGTGTGCATGTGTGTGTGTGTGTGTGTGTGTGTGTGTGTGTGTGTGTGAGGGAAAGAGAAAGATCTAACGCTACTTGGATCGATAGAACGAGCGAATCAAAAAGTGGCAGTGTATATTTCCCCGTTTCAGCGGAAGATTCATT